CAGCCCCTCAAGGTCCTTCCTGGAGTGCCATGTCCCAGCGGGTGCCACCCCTGTGTGCCCAGCCCTGCATGGCACTGTCTCTTGCAGGCAGTACGTGAGGGATGCTGTGGTGGGCAGCATGGGGCTGAAGCCAACGGGCAGGCTCTGCAGTGTCACCAAGGCCCGGGGGCTGCGGGCCTGCAGGTAGGTCTGGGGCACTGGATGGGGGGTCCCGAGGGGACATGGGGTGGCTGGGACACATGCAGCCAGGAGAGTGGCTCTGCTGCAAGGACAGCTGACCATCCCTCCAGCTCTGGTGAAGAAGCAGAGGGTGTCAGGGAGACCTCCAGAGGCCCAAATTGGAAGATCTCCAAATACCCATGTCTCTGAGGGGTCCCAGCCTCCTCGGGGGTCTCCCCACAGGGATAACCTGAGCGTGTCCCCGTGCTGGAGAACACCCTGCTGTGGGGTGGCAGCTCTGGAGCCCCTTCCCCTCCAGCAGGATTTGGCCACCCTGCTGCTGCTCACCCTGGGTGGGGGAGCCTGGTGGTGTTCCCAGCTCCGAGCTGGAGGTGCCCTGGGGGGACCCAACATCCTGACACCCCCTGTGCCCCTTGTGCTGCCTCACAGGCCATGCCTGGCTGCTTTCCCCACCCGGGGGCTCTGAGCCATGGGGCAGAGCTCTGCTGACTCAGCACCACTGCTGGGGAGCAAAAGGGGCATCCCAGTTCCAAACTGGGCCTGCAGAACACTGGGGCTTTGGTGGCCTTGCAGCCCCACCCACAGAATCTCTGGGGCAGGTGACTTCTGTGCCCTCAGCAAGTCCCCTCGGCTTGTCGGGGCTCCCTGTGGCCCTTCAGAGTGCTGGGTCGGGGGCTCTGGTCACTGTCCCCTCCCCCAGGGCAGCTCTGCCCCTGTGTCTTTGTTCTAGAGGGAAGTTAAGAGACACCATTCTGGACTGGGAGGACTCCCTGCCCGACCGGGACCTCACGCTGGCAGACGAAGCCTGCAGGTACCAGGGTGGGCTCTGCACGCTGTGGTGGCTCCTGACTCCTGCAGGCACCAGGGATTTATCCCTGCCCTGGATGTCTGGTCTCCTCCCTGCAGGAAAGCTGATCTCTCTGTCACCCTGGGGACCTCGCTGCAGATCAAACCCAGTGGCAACCTCCCGCTGATCACCAAGAAGAGAGGAGGGAAGCTGGTCATAGTCAACCTGCAGGCAACCAAACACGTGAGTGGGAGTGTCCTGCTGCTCTGTGCTGCTCTGTGCTGCTTCTCTTCTTCTCCACCACTGGTCTCAGCCCTCTCACAGCTCAGCCCTTCACATCATCCCCTCCCAGGTGGCCAGACAGCAGAGAGGCCCCGCTCAGAATCACACGATCATGGAATCGTTCTAGTTGGAAGAGAGATTTAAGTTCACCCAGTCCAACCCTTCCCCAGCACTGCCAGGTCCCCACTGCCCCGTGTCCCTCACCCCACATCTCCACGGCTTGGAAACCCCTCCAGGGGTGGGGACTCCGCCACTGCCCTGGGCAGCCTGGCACAGCCCTGGGCAACCCTTGCAAGGAAGAAATTTTTCCCCAGCTCCAACCTCAACCTCCCCTGGGGCAACTTGAGGCTGTTTCCTCTTGTCCTGTCCCTTGTTCCTTGGGAGCAGAGCCCGACCCCCCCCTGGCTCCAGGCTCCTGTCAGGAGCTGTGCAGAGCCAGAAGGTCTCCCCTGAGCCTCCTTTGCTCCAGGCTCAGCACCCCCAGCTCTCTCAGCCGCTCCTCCCCACACTTGGGCTCTAGACCCTTCCCCAGCAGCTCCGTTGCCCTTCTCTGGCCACACTCCAGCCCCTCAAGGTCCTTCCTGGAGTGAGGGGCCCAAAACTGAACAAGCACACAGGCTGGGCCTTGGTGTAAACCATCAACTCCCAATAACCACCTAGAAATGGAAGGTAAATTTTCAGAGAAGAATAAAAACTCAGCCCAGAGCCTGGTGTATCCTCCAGAGACTCACAGTCCGATGAGGAACCTGCACACACTTAACCCCGAGCAGTCAGGGGCAGAGCTCAGTTCACATTCACCCCTGGGTCTGGTGCCCTAATTGTCCAAATTATTTTGAAGAACCCGAGCTGGGGGTTTCTGGGCTGTTGTTAGAGGTCCCTGTCCCCCCTGCCCTGGGCTCACTGCCCTGGCTCTGCACCCATGGCCCCATCTCTGCGCTGTTTTGAGGCACAGCTGCCTCCCCACCCCTGACAGATCCCTGCCGGGTGGGGTCGGGTCTTGTTCCAGCAGGGATGATGTTGGGGACAGCTGAGCCAGCCCCCAGCCCTGTCCCCTCACACTCCCAGGGAGGGGACGTGTGTCCCTGGGTGCTGGCTGTGCCCTGACCCCTCACCCTCACTCCCCCAGGACCGCCAGGCCGACCTGCGCATCCACGCCTACGTCGACGACGTCATGACGAAGCTGATGAAGCTCTTGGGGCTGGAGGTCCCGGAGTGGACGGGGCCCGTGGTGGTGGAACACGCCGAGCTGGCCAAGCCCGAGCAGCAATTCAGACTGGACGTGGGGGGTCACGGGCCACGGAAGGAGGAGCCCCTGCCCCGGCACAACGGCACCGCCCCGCTGAAGCAGGAGTGTCCCAGCCCGGACACGGGGCCGGGCAGGGTGAAGAAGATGAAGGTGCCCCCGGCCCCGCACTTTCCCTCCCTAGACCCTCCTCTGTGCCGCCTTTCCTACCGACCTTTTTTTTTTATAACCTCAAACGTTGTCCCTTTTTTTATGTAAGTATTAAAGACGCTCCAGTCGCGTGTCGGGGCGGCTGCACCCGCTGGCACGGGGAGGGTGGTGCCTGCTTGAGATGGCCCGAGCACCTGATTCCTTCTCAGGTATGTCTGGAGGTGGTGGTGGGGCCTGGCAGACCTCGTGAGGGGCAGAGGGACGAGGGTGCTGACGCTGGGAGTGCTGAGGGTGTTCCTGGGGTGGAGCTGGGGCTGGGCTGAGCCGCCGAGACCTGTCCTGCACACTGTCTGGTGTCCCGGGGAAGGGGACTGG